ATAGAGAAAGTTCGACTTCCTCTTTTTCTAATTGAATACCCTTTATTTCTTTTTCTTGGCTGATTGCCTTGGCCAGAACTTCCAATACTATGTTGAATAGGAGTGGTGAGAGAGGCCATCCTTGTCTTGTGCCAGTTTTCAAAGGGAATGCTTCCAGTTTTTGCCCATTCAGAATGACATTGGGATTGTTGCAAACAGCTTTTGTTATTTTGAGATACATTCCATCAATACCTAGTTTATGGAGAGTTTTTAGCATAAAGCACTGTTGAATTTTGTCAAAGGCTTTCTCTGCATCTATTGAGATAATCATGTGTCTTCTCTTTGCTTCTGTTTATGTGATGGATTATATTTATAGATGTGCATATGTTGAACCAGCCTTGCATCCCAGGGATGGAGCCAACTTGATCATGATGGATAAGCTTTTTGATGTTTATCTGTTACTGTTGCATTTGGTTTGCCAGTATTTTATTGAGGATTTTCACATAAATGTTCATCATGGATATTGGCCTGAAATTTTCTTCTTTAGCTGTGACTCTGCCAGGTTTTGGTATCAGGATGATGTTGGTCTCATAAAATGAGTTAGGGAGGATTCCATCTTTTTGTATTGTTTGGAATTATTTCAGGAGGAATGGTTCCAGCTCCTCTTTGTACCTGTGGTAGAATTCAGCTGTGAACCCATCTGGACCTGGACTTTTTTTGGTTGGTAGGCTATCAATTGTTGCCTCAACTTCAGACCTTGTTATTGGTCTATTCAGGGATTCAACTTCCTGGTTTAGTCTTGGGAGGATGTAAGCTTCTGGAAATTTATCCATTTCTTCTTGATTTACTGGTTTATGTGCATAGAGTTGTTTGTAGTAATCTCTGATGGTCATTTGTATTTCTGTTGGACCGATGGTGATATCCCCTTTATCATTTTTTATTGCATTTATTTGATTCTTCTCTTTATTAGTCTGGCTAGCTGTCTATTTTGTTGATCTTTTCAGAAAACCAGCTCCTGGATTTACTGAGTTTTTGAAGGGTGTTTTGTGTCTCTGTCTCCTTCAGTTCTACTCTGATCTTAGGTATTTCTTGTCTTCTGCTAGCTTTTGAATTTGGTCTTGCTTCTTTAGTTCTTTTAATTGTGACATTAGGATGTCAATTTTAGATCTTTCCTTGCTTCTCATGTGGGCATTTAGTGCTATAAATTTACCTCTTGACACTCCTTTAACTGTGTCCCAGAGATTCTGGTACGTTGTATCTTTGTTCTTATTGGTTTCAAAGAACATCTTTATTTCTGCCTTCATTTCATTATCTATCCAGTAGTCATTCAGGATCTGGTTGTTCAGTTTCCATGTAGTTGTGCAGTTTTGAGTGAGTTTCTTAATTCTGAGTTCTAATTTGATTGCACTGTGGTCTGAGAGACTGTTATAATTTCCGTTGTTTTGCATTTGCTGAGGAGTGATTTACTTCCAATTATGTGGTCAGTTTTAGAGTAAGTGCAATGGGATGCTGAGAAGAATGTATATTCTGTGGATTTGGGCTGGAGAGTTCTGCAGATGTCTACTAGGTCTGCTTGGTCCACATCTGAGTTAAAGTCTTGAATATCCTTGTTAATTTCTATCTCATTGATCTGTCTATATTGACAGTGGAGTGTTAAAGTCTCCCACTATTACTGTGTGGGAGTCTTAGTCTCTTTGTAGGTCATTAAGAACTTGCTTTATATATTCCGGTGCTCCTGTATTGGGTGCATATATATTTAGGATAGTTAGCTCTTCTTGTTGCATTGACCCCTTTATCATTATGTAATGCCCTTCTTTGTCTCTTTTGATCTTTGTTAGTTTAAAGTCTATTTTATTAGAGACTAGGTTTGCAACCCCTGCTTTTTGTTGTTGTTGTTGTTCTCCATTTGTTTGGTAAATGTTCCTCCATCCCTTTATTTTAACTCTGTGTGTGTCTTTGCATGTGAGATAGGTCTCCTGAATACAACACACTGATGGGTCTTGACTCTATCCAATTTGCCAGTCTATGTCTTTTGATTGGGGCATTTAGCCCATTTACATTTAAGGTTAATATTGTTATGTGTGAATTTGATCCTGCCATTTTGATACTAGCTGGTTGTTTTGCCCATTAGTTGATACAGTTTCTTTATAGTGCCAATGGTCCTTGCAATTTGGTATGTTTTTGCAGTGGCTAGTACTAATTGTTCCTCTTCATATTTAGTGCTTCCTTCAGGAGGTCTTGTAAGGCAGGCCTGGTGGTAATGAAATCTCTCAGCAGTTGCTTGTCTTAAGAAGCTTAGCTTGGCTGGATGTGAAATTCTGGGTTGAAAATTCTTTTCTTTAAAGGTGTTGAATATTGGTCCCCACTCTCTTCTGGCTTGTAGGGTTTCTGCCAAGAGATCTCCTGTGACTCTGATGGGCTTCCCTTTGTGGATAACCTGACCTTTCTCTCTGGCTTCCCTTAGCATTTTTTCATTCATTTCAACCCTGGTGAATCTGACAGTTATGTGCCTTAGGAGTTGCTCTTCTCGAGGAATATCTTTGTGGTGTTCTCTGTATTTCCTGAATTTGAATGTTGGCCTGCCTTGCTAGGTTGGGGAAGCTCTCCTGGACAATATCCTGAAGCGTGTTTTCCAACTTTGTTCCATTCTCCCCATCACTTTCAGGTACACTAATCAAATGTAGATTTGGTCTTTTCACATAGTCCTATATTTCTTGGAGGCTTTGTTGTTTCTTTTCACTCTTTTTTCTCTAATCTTCTCACTTTGTTTCATTGAATTGATCTTCAATCTCTGATATCCTTTCTTCTGCCTGATAGATTTGGCTATTGAAACTTGTGTATGCTTCATGAAGTTCTTGTACTGTGTTTTTCAGCTCCATCCAGTTTATGTTCTCTGCATTGGTTATTCTCATTAGCATTCATCTAACTTTTTTTCAGCATTCTTACTTTTCTTGCTTTGGTTTAGAACATGCTCCTTTAGCTCAGAGAAGTTTGTTATTACCCACCTCTGAAGCCTGCTTCTGTCAATTCGTCAAAGTCATTCTCCATCCAGTTTTGTTGCCTTACTGGTGAGGATTTGTGATCCCTTAGAGGCAAAGAGGCATTCTGGTTTTTGGCAATTTCAGCCTTTTTGTGCTGGTTTTTTTTCCCCATCTTCATGGATTTATCTACCTTTGGTCTTTGAAGTTGGTGACTTTTTGATGGGGTCTTTGAGTGGATGTTCTTTCTCTTGATGTTGAAGATTTTTCTCTCTGTTTTTTAGTTTTTCTTCTAACAGTGAGGCCCCTCTGCTGCAGGTCTGCTGGAGGTCCACTCCAGACCCTGCTTTCCTAGGAATCACCTGCAGGGGTTGCAGAATAGCAAAGGTTGCTGCCTATTCCTTCTTCTGGTAGCTTCATCCCAAAAGGGTACTCACCAGATGTCAGCCAGAGCTGTCCTGTATGAGGGGTCTCTTTGTCAGGATAAACAGGGGTCAGGCAGCTACCTGAGCAGGCAGTCTGTCCCTTAACAGAGCTCAAGTGCTATGCTGGAAGATCCATTGCTCCCTTTAGAGCTGCTGGGCAGGGATGTTTAGGTTTGCTGAAGTGGAACCCACAGCTGCCCCTTTTCCCAGATGCTCTGTCCCAGGAAGGTGGGGGCTTTATTTATAAGTCCCTGATGGGATGCTGCATTTTTTCAGAGGTGCCCTGCCCAGCAAGAAGAGAGTCTAGTCACAGTCTGCCTGCAGAGGCCTTGCGGAGCTGTCGTGGGCTCCACCCAGTTGCTGTATAAACTTCCCTGTGACTTTGTTTACACAGGCAAGTTTAGAACCGCCTACCCTACCCGAGCCTCAGTAATGGCTGATGACCCTCCCCTCACCGAGCTTGAATGTCCCAGGTTAAGCTCAGACTGCTGTGGTGGCCGTGAGAATTTCAAGCCAGTGGATCTTAGTTTGCTGGTTGGGGGGGGACCCACCAAGCCAGATCACTTGGTTCCCTGCCTTCAGCCCCCTTTTTTTCAGGGGAATGAGCAGTTCTGTATCACTGGTGTTCCAGGTGCCACTGCAGTATGAGAAAAAAAACAGTTGCTGCAACCACAACAGCCACCCAGTTTTGTGCTGGAAATCTGGGGTGCTGGTGTTGTAGGCACCAGAGGGAATCTCCTGGTCTGCGGGTTGTGAAGACCATGGCAAAAGCACAGTATCTGAGTCAGAGTGCCAGAGTATCCAGAAAAGTACCTAATAGCTTCCCTTGGCTAGGAGAGGGAGTTCTCCAGCCCCTTGCACTTCCCAGGTGAGGTGTCGCCCCACCCTGCTTCACTTTGTCCTCCTTGTGCTACACCCACTCTGTAACCAGTCCCAATGAGATGAACCTGGTACCTCGGTTGGAAATGTGGAGATCACTCGCCTTCTGGCTCACTCTGGCTGGGAACTGCAGACCAAAGCTGTTCCTATTTGGCCACCTTTGCGGAAGTCCCATGATGATTTTTAATTTTAAGACTACTAGGCCAGGCATGGTGGCTCACGCCTGTAATCCCAGCACTCTGGGAGGCCGAGGCAGGCAGATCATGAGGTCAGGAGTTCAAGACAAGACTGGCCAACATGATGAAACCCTGTCTCTACTAAAAAATACAAAAATTAGTTGGGCATGGTGGGAGCCTGAGGTGAGAGAATTGCTTGAACCGGTACCCAGGAGGTGGCAGTGAGCCGAGATCGTGCCACTGTACTCCAGCCTGGGCTATAGAGCTAGACTCCATCTGCAAAAAAAAAAAAAAGAAAGAAAAAGAATACTTAGCTATAGCAAAGGATAAATGTTTGAGGGATGAGTACCCCATTTTCCATGACATGATTATTATGCATTGCATGTCTGCATCAAAATATCTCATGTACCCCATAAATATATCTATCGTGTACTGACAAAAATTAGAAATTTTTAAAGCAGTGATGATCCAACACCAGAGTGTACAAAGAATTCTTAATTATAAATATTTTATATTATAACTTCAGGTTCAAGACTAATAATTCTGTTATGTTTTATCTACAGGTCATGCCTTGACTGCATTGGTAAAAATTCTATCATTTTAGAAAGTCAGATATCTTTATTACCTCCCAAACTTCTGCAACAAGTACTCAAAAAAATAACATTTTGGACTGCAGCTAATCACCGAGAGGAACAAAGAGTTAAAAAAAAGGAAACATAAAATAAATATCAGTGTATCAGTAGCAATTAAATTGTTATATACTCAATATATTTAGTATGCTTTGACATTTTAATCATACTATACATTTACACTCCCAAATTGCAGGCTTTATTTAAAGGATAAAATTTGAAACAAAAATACTCTGTTAAGTGACTATATGCCATGGGATATGGAAAAAAAGATGTTAATGCAGATTAATTTATATTTGTAAACAAATTTCATTACAAGCTGCAGAACAAATATTCTTGCTCAAAGTAACTACAGTTATAACAGATTTTAACTCAGTGTGTATTCTTTACTGGAAAGACTACATAAATTTGAGAATAAGAAATTATCAAGAACTTTAGAAATCCCCAACATAATTTTATAAATGTATAAATACATGTTTGTATGTGAAAACACTATATATAAACTTTCAGAAAGAACAAACTTTCTGAAGTCATTTTAAAGTTACCTAAGTTTCTCCTTGAATAACTAATACAGTCTGCCAAATATTATAAAATAGGCAAACACCAGAATGGTATAATACTGAACTCCTGCCCTTTTCAGTGCTTACCTGGTAAAGTATTCTTAGGGCATCATAACTTTTCCTCACCTTTATTCAAATAGAGGAATAAATATCTTCAGTTGTCTCCCCATTACCCCTAAGTTATTAGTTTATCTAGTTTCTATATTAAGACCATGTTTTAAAGTACATAAAGTGGAGGTTTATTTATCATACAGGCTTTGAAACATTGAGAAGCAGTGTATTTATTAACTTTTTGAGACATATTAAAATACATTTTGCATTGGAAGACTGCTTCTAAAGTAATTTTTGCAAGTAATGAGATAAGATGGTAATCTAATAATTTGACTTTATAGAAACCCCTCAGTTAGGCCCATAGCATTTTGGGCCATCATGCCCACAACTCAGAGTTGTGTTCAAGACAGATACTAAAAATCTAATACCTTCCCTTTTATTTTCAGCATTACCATCCATACAGAAATGAAACACTGTGTCTTTATATTCCTAAAAATGATACTTTTGCCATAATTAAGAAATTTTTCTTCATGTTATCACTATCATGCCCTTCCTTTGACTAATTACAATTAATTACTAAAAAGCTGGGTATATAAAATTATTCTCCACAATATTACCATGCAAGTTATATCCGAAATTTAAAATGTTAAAGAAAAATATTTCTATATTGACATATATATAATTTATAATGAAAATTGCAGTTTGTAGTATTTCATTAAATTTTAGAAAGATATTTCATATATGTACTGTATTTTGGATGTGTAAAGCTTCTATTTATGTATTGAAATATTTTTTTACATTTTATTTATTGTACAAAGTGTATATAATTACCGTTTTCATTTTTCTCTGTGTAAACCAGTCATTAAAATTGATAATACAAAAAATATTTCATTGTAAGTTTTTATTTTTCTGACTATTTTTAGGCTGAATAACAGATTTGGAAAATGAATCTCACAAGTAATTCACACCTTGGAAGAAATTACTTTATTATCATCAGCCTTTTATATGTAAGGCAAAAATATATCAAAATCTAATTAGATGCTGATAGAGATGACATTAAGTGGAAGGAACACCATTTTAAAATGGCTTTAGGATTATGTGAATGTCTTCTCCCGCCTCTTAGAAGAGCATCTCCTTTTTAAAATGGTGTATTTGCAATATTAAAAGTTGGTTTAGCTCCCTCAAAATACCCACTCTCATGGGTTTTACAAGAATGAAAATCTGGCTGGGTGCAGTGACCAACACTTGTAATCCCAGCACTCTGGGAGGCTGAGGCAGGAGGCTTGTTTGAGGCCAGGAATTCAAGACCAGCCTGGGCAACATAAAGAGACCCTATCTGTTTAAAAAAAAAAAAAAAAAGTCACGTGATATTCTTACGGTTGTCAGAAAGAATTTTAAGGTTATTATCATTTTTAATGTGATAACATCAAAATTAGTATACATTTTTTCTAAATAGTATCTTTGCAAAACCACCTTTAAAAATATCCTTTAGAGGCCAGGTATGGTGGCTCACACCTGTAATTACAGCACTTTGGGAGGCTGTGGTGGCAGAATCACATGAGGCCAGGAGTTCGAGACTAGCCTGGTCAACATGGCAAAACCCTGTTTCTACCGAAAATACAAAAATTAGACTTGGTGGTGTGTACCTATGGTCCCAGCTACTCGGGAGGCTGAGGCAAGAGGATCGCTTGAACCTGGGAGGCAGAGTTTGCAGTGACCCGAGATAATGCCACTGCACTACAGCCTAGGCAACAGAGCAAGATTCTGTCTCAAAAAAAAAATTAGAACTTTTGTGCTGTCCGCTGACACACACACACTGATGTTTTCACCAATATGTTTGTTTTTTTTTTGAGACAGAGTCTCACTCTGTTACCCAGGCTGGAGTGTAGTGGCGTGATCTCGGTTCACTGAAACCTCTGCCCCCTGGGTTCAAGCAATTCTCACTGTGATATTACGAGTAAGGTCTCTAAAATATTAGAAATAACTGAAAGGGTGTACACCACTGCAATATTAGAAGAAATATCTTCCCAAGATATTGCAAATAATATCACAGGGTGTACACACATGGTGTACACCCATTGTGACACTAGGAGTAATATCTCAGGATATAACAGTGCACACCCACTGTAATAGGAGTAATATTTCTTTAGAATGTTACACATAATGTCACAGGATGTACACCAACTGTGATATTAATATTGTCCTAGGATATTACAAATAATGCACAGGTTGTACAACATTTGTGATATTTAGAGTAGTAGTAGTTTTTTTTTTTTTTGAGACAGAGTTTCGCTCTTGTTACCCAGGCTGGAATGCAATGGCGCGATTCTCGGCTCACCGCAACCTCCGCCTCCTGGGTTCAGGCAATTCTCCTGCCTCAGCCTCCCGAGTAGCTGGGATTACAGGCACGCGCCACCATGCCCAGCTAATTTTTTGTATTTTTAGTAGAGACAGTGTTTCACCATGTTGACCAGGATGATCTCGATCTTCTGACCTCGTGATCCACCCGCCTCGGCCTCCCAAAGTGCTGGGATTACAGGTGTGAGCCACCGCGCCCGGCCCTAGAGTAATATTCTTTCTAGAATGTTAAAAGGATATTACAGAATATAAACCCACTGTGATATCAGGAGTAATACCTCTGTAGAGTATTACAAAAAATACTCCACAGGAGTAATAATCTCGCTAAGATATTACAAATAGTATAACATAGTGTACACCAACTGTGATATCAGGAGTAATATCTGAGATATGAGGAATATCACCCACTGTGACTTTAGGAACAATATCTTTTTAGTATATTATGATTAATATCACAGAGTGTACACTTGCTTTCACAATGAGAGTGATATCTACTTTGGATATGGATATCACAAACTGTACACACATGGTGTAACACCCACTTAGATATTAGTAGTATCTAATATGCTAAAAATAGTATACCAGAATGTACACCTAATGTGTACATTTACTGAGATATTAAAATAAATGTACATAATATGTACAATATGTACATTTATTATGATGTAAATATACATACAAAATATATACATATAAATGTACATATGTGTACAAGATGCACATTTATATGTACATAATGTGTACAATCTGTACATTTATATGTAATGTGCACACAATACATATGTACATGTGTACAATATGTACATTTATTGTAATATCAATTCTATATATCACAATATATAACATCACAATAAATGTACATATTATATACATTATGTACATATGCATTGTGTACACGTACATATACCTTTATTGTGATATAATATGTACACGTGTACCTATATGTGCATATTATGTACATTTATGGTAATATCACAATAAATGTACCATAAATGTACATGATGTGTATATTTATTGTGATATCTCTGTGATAGTGCAAGTTATATCACAGAGTGTGCACACATGGTATACGTACATTGCGTGCACTTGCTGTGATATTAGGAGAAATATCTTTCTAGGATATTTTGAATAATATTACAGGATGTAAACTCAGTTTGATAGGTGGAGTAATATCTCTCTAGGATGTTACAGGTAATATCAATGGATGCACACATATGGTGTACTCCCACTGTGATATTAGGAGTGTCATCTCTTCCTAGGATATTACCACTAGCGTCGCAGAGTGTACACATATGGTGTACAGCCACTTAGATATTCAAGTATTATCTCTCCCTAAGATATTACGAATATCATAGGGTTTACCCAAATACTGTACACATAGGTTGATATTACGAGTAATGTTACATGCTGAATATTACAAATAATATCACAAAGCGTTCAAACATACTCTACACTGGCTATGACATTAGGAGTAATATTTCTTCAAAATATACACCCATATCAATCCGATGGTGATATTAGCAGTAATATCTCTTTAAATTGTACACCCACATCAACCACCCACCATATGGCGAGTAATATCACCCAGGTTCGCCTTGACTATTAGGAACCATATCACAGAGGAGTGGCCATACCCGTGTCTCATAGTATCTCTCCCTAAGATATTACGTATAATATCACGGGGTGTACACAAATACTTTACACATACTTTGATATTACGAGTAATGACATACGCTGAATATTACAAACAAGATCAAAAAGTGTTCAAACATATTCTACAACAACTAACATATTGGGAGTAATATCTCTTTAAAATATACACCCATATCCACCCAACAGTGATATTAGGAGACATATCTCTTTAAAACATACACCCAGATAAAGCCCCCGCCAGAGGGGGAATAGCAGCACCTCAGCACTCCCTGGCTGCTACAAGCCCTCTGGCTAGGGGGCTGCCTACAGTGCCCCCAGGGTTCAAGCAATTCTCCTGCCTCAGCCTCTGAAGTAGCTGGGATTACAGGAGCCCGCCACCATACCTGGGTAATTTATATATTTTTAGTAGAGATAGGGTTTCGCCATATTGGCCAGGCTGGTCTCAAACTACTGACCTCAGGTCCTCCACCTGCCTCAACCTCCCAAACTACTGGGAATTTAGGCATGAGCCATTGCACCAGCCCACTTTGTATTTTTGATTTTTTTTTTTTTGAGATGCAGTGTAGCTCTGTGGCCCAGGCTGGAGTGCAGTAGTGCAATCTTAGCTCACTGCAACCTCTGCCTCAGTTCAAAGCAATTCTCCTGCCTCAGCCTCCTAAGTAGCTGGCATTACAGGCACGTGCCACCATGCCTGGCTAATTTTTTGTATTTTTGGTAGAGACAGGGTTTTCACCATGCTAGCCAGGCTGGTCTCGGACTTCTGACCTTGCGATCCACTCATCTCGGCCTCCCAAAGTGCTGGGATTACAAATATGAGCCACGGTGCCAAGCCTATTTTTGACTTTTATTAAACCTTGCAATTTTTTGTTGAAATTTAGACATGATGAACTGGGTGAAAGAAACTAGTAAACAGGCCTTCTGTGGTGTGGTGATAAGAAGTGTGGGGAAGGAAAGCATTCTGTAGACCTATAATAATCTGTCTTTTTGGGAGTCTGTGCCCCTGGACTGTGAACTTCACCGCAGTTCTCAGTTTTTCCCCCACTTTGGTGGAGTAGAATGGCTAGAGGGTGCTGGAATTAGGTATTTTCCTTTTGATAGAGTAGGTTTGATAAAACAGTTTCTCCTGAGGGCAGCCCTTGTTAAGAAGAACTAGCATGTTTCAAAATGGTTCCTTTTTCCTTTCCCTTGCTGGAAGAATGAGATGATTTTTCTCTGAAGTTTACTGTAAGTACCTCTTAGACCTTCTGGAGGTAAAACTCAAAAAAGTGTGAGTATCGTCCCATGAGGGGTCCTCTGGAGTTGTGGTTTTGTTCATTTGTTTGATACAGGGTCTCACTATGTTGCTTAGGCTGGAGTGCAGTTGCACAATCTCAGCTCACTGAAGCCTCCAGGGTTTAAGTGATTCTCGTGCCTGACCTTCCCGAGCAGCTGGGACCACAGGAAAGTGCCACCAAATCAGTATTTTTAAAATATTTTTAAGAGATGAGATTTCGCTTTGTTGGCCAGGCTGGCTTGAACTCCTGACCTCAAGTGATCTGCCTGGCTTAGCCTCCTAAAGTGCTGGGATTACAGGCATGAGCCACCACATCCAGCTCCCTGGAGTTTTTAACTCTAAAACCTGTCCACACCACACTCCCGGGTTCAACCCCAAAACTGGTTGCTCAGAAGGTTTTTGCTCATGGGTTCCTGCTTTGGTAAGTTGTGATTCTGTATATTCACCCATCTGTCTCTGCAGTTTGACAGGCAGTGGCTTTCTCTGTTGATTTCACTTCTCTGCTTGATCTAAGAACAGTTGTTGATTTTTCAGTTTGTTCGACTTTTTGTTTATTGTTAGGATGGAGTGGCACGTTCTAAGCTCTTTACATGTCAGACTAA